GACACAGCCCTGGGGGGCTGTGTTTGTTGATTTGTTCCTGTAGTTTGTGACTGCCTTGATTCCCTGCCACATACTGCGTGTGTTGTTATTCATATAGTAGTTCTCCAGTTTTTGGAACTATGCTCTCTTTGCAGATCTGATGGACTTTTGTAGCTCATACTGGGCTTTCCTGTACTCCACTTGGTCCCCTGACTTAAAAGCCTCTTGTCTCTTTCTGATTTTCTGTTTTATATCCCTATTAAACCATAGTTTTTACATACACTACACTCACAATGATACATTGCAGCTCTCGAGGTAAATAAAATGGCCTTAGCTTTAGTATTAAATATTCCATATCTTCAGAACAGAATTTAGGGAGAATCTGTGCACCAGGACTATTTGACGAAGGCGGCTGTTCCTCCGCCGTAGGTGGAGATGCTAGCAGGTAGGGCATACATGGACCACCATAACCAAATGGCTGGCATAGTTTGCAGAAACATCTGTGCCGAGTACAGGTTGGGCCTGGTGCTGTCCAGCTCTTCATACTTGAGACCCTCTCTTGGATTTCTGCCATTGTGATGATTACTGGATCTTGTTCAGGGGGATTGCTGTGGTCTGCTCTCAGGTTTGCTAGCCACTGGGCATCGTTGTTATGTGATGCCTCCTTTTCTCATATGCTCTTCCAAAATTATTCCATCACCAGCCTTGGTGGGTCTGCTCTCATGTTATTACCCTGGCTCTGAGAGTACACTTTAGATGGCTCAGTGGAGAACATTTGATTTATTCTCCTGGTTTCAGCTTCTCTGGTGTACCTCTTCAGCCAGGTGGCAAGGGCCATGAGCCTTTGCTTGGCATTTTCTATGGCCTCAGGTATGGACAGTTTATTGTACTTCTTAGGTACCCCTTTCTACATCACACGTTTCTGCAAATCCAATAGCTTCTCTTCGTGTTTCGCCTTGATCTTGACCTCCAACCTCCTTCTCCATAAATGATATTGCTCCTTATGGCCTTTGTTGAACTTATAGCCAAGCATCTCAAGGATCACGATTGCTGTGGTGTATATCAGCTTGTTAGTGGTGGTCATAGTATGGATTATTCATAGTGCTGCATTCACATCCTCTAGTAGACTTTCAGAAGGCACTTCACTTAGTCTTGGTAACCAGCCATGGAGGTTCCAGGTGTCTATCTTGGTCATGATCTTCAATCTCAGGTCAGCTGCTCTTGCATTAAGCTCATCTGGGCTTGTTATTGGGGCTTGGTACCCAATCTTCAATTGTGGGGGTGATGATGATATCCCCCACTTGACCTGTTGTCCTGGCTTCCCTTTGCTGTAGCATTCATGTTGTACCTTGTCTGTCTCTATTTGTGATAGCAGGTGTTTCTTGCAGTGTTAGCTGTACTGTAGAGAACACAGACTACTTTACATTATTAAATACAAATACTTCCGGAAGCAAGATGGCGCCGCTGTTCATGGCTTGCCGTTGGCCTCTCCGGTGTATGTTACTGTTTTTGCTGTTTATGCTGCTTCTCTCCACTGTCACTTGGAATGCATCAGCTCTACTAATGTACGATCATGCCGCCTTTCTTAATATTCATTTGTCTATGGAAAAGTTTCCCAGTGTAACACGCTGGGATAACTCAAAGACTGTCCCATGATTACTGGCGAAGATACCAGCATATCTTCAGCATTCTTGCTTCATCTGCTCGTGAAGGAAGCGTACCAGAAGACGAGGAAGGAGGAGCGGGGTGGCTGTCCACCTAAAGGCCCTCTGGCGCTCTGCTTGGGTTTTGTTGTCGTCCTACTATGACTCGCTAGCCTGGCTTCGTTTGTGGCTGGCCTCGGCCCATAGGCCTGGATTTCCCGGTCTCTCATCCATATCGCCGACTTTCATGTCATCCGAGAAGAGGTGTAAATTGGTCTAATCTCCAACCGCTGAGATGTGTGTCTCAGCCACCAAACCCTGTTTTATCGATTTCAGATGGGTTTGATTAATGTTGAATGACTTTTTTATATCACGGAAATTGGATTTCATGTTGCTGACTGAGACTTGGTTAAAGGAAGGTGAGCATTGTGCATTCTCTGAGCTTCTTCCACCTAGTTGTTCCTTCCTCAGCTGCCCCCGTATGACAGGTCGGGGCAGTGGGCTGGCATGTGTTTTTAAAAATAGTTTTCAATGTCAGCAGCTGAAAGTGGACACTTATTCAAGTTTTGAAGTACAGCTGTTTGTGATTAACTTTCTCAAACACTGCTGTGTGCAGTGGTTTATCATCCTCCTAAATTTAATAAAGACTTTATTCAGGAGTTCTCTGATTTCCTGGGTTTTATCTTGCCAAAGTTTGATAGGCTTTTAATCTTTGGTGATTTTAACATTCAAGTATGTTGCCCAGCTGACCCTTTGTCTAAAGACTTTTTAAGTGTTAATGACTCTTTTAACCTCACCCAGTTGGTGCACAGCCCTACACATGAGCTCGGACATACACTGGACCTTGTGATTTCCCATGGGCTGCCTGTTCTTATTACTGAAGTATGTGACTCTCGATTCTCTGATCATTTCACTGTGCTATTTAATGTTAATGTGCCGCCACTGTTAGACAAACCTTCTATTACAGCTGGTATAAGATGTACAATCACCTCTTCAACTGCAGGAGAGTTTTCTACTGGCTTTAAAAATTCTGGTCTGTATCTGATGGGGGATGTGTCCTCCTACATGGATCCTGAGGAAGTATTAAGTCTATTAACCTCCACATGTCAGGATATACTAGATTCCATTGCTCCCCTCTGATGTAGACCGGCTAAGATGGATCCTTGGCTAAATGACTTAACTTGGAAACATAGACGAAGATGTCGTAAAGCTGAATGCAAATGGAAGGATAAACTCTATGTTTCTCTTCGCCATTTCAGGGACTGCTTGTCAGACTATCAAAAGGTGGTGAAATCTGCAAAATCGAACTATCTCTCAAACACTATGCTCAGTAATCGCCACAAACTTCTGGTTTTGTTCAATACAATTAATTCAGTCATTAGCCCTGATAAATTTACCTCTCATCCTGAGGCAGCTGTTGAGATATGTGAGGGTTTTCTTCATTATTTTACTGACAAAATTGCTAGCATTAGGCAATTTTCCACTACAACTTCTTTTGACCCAGCTGACCTTCCCCTGTCTTCTGCTATTTTTGATCAATTTGAGACTGTTTCTATGCCTGTGTTATCAGAAGTGGTTTTGCACATGAAAACATCGCACTGTTCTCTGGATTTCCTGCCAACAAGACTGTTCAGGGATGTTTTTGAGTCTATAGGTCCTAGCTTTCTGGCCCTAATTAATTTATGTTTGACTACAGGCTCAGTTCCAGATGCTTTTAAAAAAGCAATTGTCCAGCCACTTCTTAAAAAGCTGAATCTAGATCCTTTAGTGGTTTCTAATTTTAGACCAGTGTCTAAATTATTTTTTATGTTGAAAGTTTTAGAAAAAGTTGTTCTTATTCAACTCCAGTCTTTTCTGGCAGATAACTGCATCGAGGAGCAATTTCAGTCTGGCTTTAAACCAAAACACAGTACTGAGTCAGCATTATTAAAAATTAATAATGACATTTTGTTGGCCAAGGATCTAGTTCTGCTGGTGCTTTTAGACCTCTCTGCTGCCTTCGATACAGTGGATCATGAAATCCTCATATCTCGCTTGGAGCACTGTGTGGGAATTCGTGGTACTGTTCTTAATTGGTTTAGATCTTACCTCACGAATAGACGTTTCTGTGTTAATATTGGTAACTGTTCCTCCTCTTCAATCATCCTCTTGTGGCATCCCCCAAGGCTCTGTACTTGGCCCAACTCTCTTTTCCCTGTACATGCTTCAGCTAGGATCAGTTCGAAGGAAATATGGCTTCTCTTTCCATTGCTTTCTCTTTTCCCTGTATATACTTCCGCTAGGATCAGTTCTCTTTCCATTGCTATGCGGATGACATCCAGATATCTTTACCATTAAAAGCAACCAGAGGGATGTCTCCACTGCCACTGTTTGACTGTCTGACAAACCTGAAAGCATGGCTGGCGTGGAACTTTTTAAAATTAAATGATAAAACTGTGTGTTTTATTTGGCGATCTGGTGAAATTTGCTGCTTTTAACCACGACTTAGGCCCCCTGGCTCAGCATCTGAAGGTGACTGTAAAAAAACCTAGGGGTAATGTTTTGACAGACACGAGATTCGACAAGCAGATCAACTCGGTCTAACTACAGTCTAGTTTCTTTCACCTGAGGTTGCTAAGTAAAGTCAAGTCATTTCTTTCTTTTAATAATTTTGAGATCGCAATCCATGCTTTCATAACCTCTAGACTTGACTATTGTAATGCATTGTACCATGGTGTTAATCAGTCATCTCTTGCTCATCTTCAAATGGTCCAAAATGTTGCTGCTAGTCTTAACACATACTAGAAAATTTGACCATATAACCCCGGTACTGGGCTCTCTTCACTGGTTTCCAGTCTGTTTTAGAATTCATTTTAAGCTATTGATTTTTTGTTTTTAAGGCTCTTAATGATTTGGCACCACCCTACCTGACCGAGTTGGTGAGGTGGCGCAAACCGGCTAGATTACTCAGATCCTCGAGCCAGTTTCTTTTAGAGGTTCCCAGGGCCAGATACAAACGCTGGGGTGACCGTGCTTTTACTATTGCAGCTCCTAAATTGTGGAATGGTTTACCTCTTAATGTTAGATCATCTACAGACTTGACACCTTTTTAAATCATTGGTTAAAACATATTTATTCACTTTGGCTTTTAATACATAGTATTGTCTGATGCTTCTTATAACTGTTTTTGTGTAGTTCGTGTTTTTAGTTCTTATGTTTTTATTTCTCTATTGATATTATTTATTTCTGGTTTTTACATTGCCTTTGTACAGTACTTTGGTCGACCAGACCACTTCTAAAGTGTTATATAAACAAACAGTGGAGGTTATAACAATCAAACATAGCCCAGACCTTTAGAGCAGAACCGACTCAGCTGCCCTGCTCTTCGTTGTCTCCCTCATGGTGCAGAAATTCACAGGCCACTCCACAGCTGTGACAAGCCTGCACTTTGCCACCACACGTCCTCCTGATAGCAACGGTCTCTATTTCCTGTCTGGTGCCACGCATGATCGACTGCTCAGCGTATGGTGAGTGCTCATCTTGAGTTGTTGGAGATGCTGAAATTTTGCATGTTGTGTCAAATGAATTTCTGAAGTCTGGCTGGTTTTGGCCATGCTTGTCTTATTGTACTGATATGAAGTTGTCTTACCGTAGGCAAGTGCGAGTAGATGGAAAGGACAAGAATTCGGTGGTTTCCTTCACACTGACAGATGAACCACAACACATCGACCTTGTCACATCCAACAGCAAGGAAGAGGTCAGAGTGGGGAAAAAAAAGGCTTGATTTGTACTCCAGTGTCCCATACATTGTCTTATTTGTGACGGGCCGCCACAATATCAACATTAACTGCTATATATTGATTTAAAATGCGTAGGTTAAATGTTATTTCAGTGTAGTGCCATGTGTAGCAAATGCATTTGCTCAGTCCCTCTGTGTGACACCCTATTTCTCTCTCTCTCTCACACACACACACACACACACACACACACACACGTAATAACAGACCCTGTCAGAATGCTGTATATAGCATGGATGTATATGGACTGCTCTGTAAATGGATAAAGTTAATGCTAATTCATTAAGTCTGATGCTGAATGTTTGCACCCTCAGTCCAGGGGAATATCAAATAAACACGTGGGAAAGCTGATCAGTATGGTTAGTGATCCACCTGATTAGTTTCAGTTACTCAACCAGTGCTGCTGAAGCAGCAAGACAGGTTTGGGAAGAAGGAGCTGTATGAGAGCAACATGCTGCTGCTGTGGGAGAGCTAGCTAGTGCAGGAGGGACAGGTCATATGACCAGTACAGAGTTGGCCTACTATAGTATTACTATATTAAAAAAATAAAAGAAAAGTAGAATCCCATTCTGTGGGAAACACTGTACGCTCCATGAATTGATTAACTGCAGGCTGTCCTGACACATGCAGAACTGCATAGTAATAAGCAACTTTGAACAAAAGGTTCAGGTTAGAAAATCTGTGTCAATGTTGAACTCAATTTGGATTTTTTTTATTTTTATTTACATGGAAATGACTAAACTGTTCATAACTACATATGTGGACAGGACATTGTATTTAAGCATTTGTGAGAAGCCTTGCTTTACCATGTGTGAATGTGTGTGCTGTTTTTGTTTTAGGCGGTGAGGCTAGCAGTGGTGTGTAAAGATGGGCAGCTGCATCTCTTTGAGCACTTTTTAAATGGGTAAGCTGTTAGAACACTAGCTACTCTAAAAGGAAACGTATCACACATCTAAGCACTTGGGAAAAAGTAATTAACTCTTTTAAAATACCATTTGACTTATACCTGTAAGATAGAAAGATTTCCAAAAGTAAAATTTGATTCAGATGAAGCCACAGTATCACAGCTGAAAAGGTTCTTATATTGCAGTTCAACTTTGGTTTGCACATTTCAATGTGGTGTATGTACAGTATATCAAAGCAATTTTTAGGGCTGCACCCAAATATTTGGATATTCATTTGTTGGGTAGGTAATCAGTTTTCAATTTAAATTTTTGAATATTCAAGGCAGCAGAAAATGTTAATGCAGTCTGTCGAAGCCCAAAAGTTGCCATTTGGGACAGCACTAGTAATTTTTATATTTGTTCAGTCTGTCTGTCTTGGCCCCCTAATGGCTGTCACGGCACACTGGATTTCCAACAGAGGAATAAGAAGTCTTCCTGTCTCCCTGCTGTTAAAATTCTGTATTTTATAATGTGGAATCCTGTTGTTCTCATTACATAGTAAATCTTAGTCATGGTTGTACACTTCCTGTCATCACAGCTTGTTTAAAAATGTGTCCTCACAGGCCTTGTAAGAAGCCCTTGTCACCTTCGTGTACAGTGCAGATGTCAGATACACAGGATTCTCCTGCGCCGATCCCCCTGCTGGCAGCCGCCCTCACGCCTGACCCTCAGAATGTGCTGCTGGCCTACGGCAACCACCTGCAGCCTGTGATGGAGAAAGTAGTGAGTACACAGAAGCTGTGGAAACAGATGTACATAGGTTAGACCCCTAGTTGATTGGCTGGGACAGCTGATTGACAAGAGGTTTATGTACATATAAAACATTATAAGACTGCTAATATATAGAATTGTGTTAATGAATGTTCAAAAAGTAATTTATATAAAACAGTTAATTGCCCTAGTGTGTTCATTATACTTTATAAGCAACAGGACAGAAATAATAAACGTTTGTTAGAATGGTTAAGGCTGAGTTTACTACTTCTGCTGCAAGGCAACAGTAAGCCTTCGCTGAGTATGTTTCATTGTGACAAATATCTGAGTGACAACTGAATGTGCAGCTTTTAAATTGGTATCTAGGGAAATGTCATTATGATGAAATACTGGTCTTTAATACATGGCAGTGTACAGTTAAGTCATAGCTGTTAGAGTTCTGTGTGACTTTGTATAGTAGTTGCCCCGAATGGAATTAAATTCAGAAATTGTCCATCACTGAGTTGTCCAGTTGTGTATATTCACCAGTGTTGATAACCTTAAAGAAATACTGTTTTAAGCCTTGAGAAATCAGTGTTGGTCACAGTTGTGATTTCCTTGCTCTTGTCTGTGCAGGATATCAACACAGCAGAGAGACATGTCTGTCTTATCCGAGATGTTCAGACCAGCTTGTGCCTTTCCATTGAAACCACCATTTCCAAGGTAATATGTCTTCACTTTCTTTAATATAAATCAAGTAGACTGATATAGTCTGGGCATGTTTTTCGGGGTATTGTTTGCCAGTTCATGCACACTGTACATCTGGTCCAGGTGAAAGTCCCAGTTGTCAGCGCTAAGAGCAGAGTGCTGGTCCCAGGGCTTCCTGGGCACCAAGCCCCACTTAAAGGAGCCTCACAGGCACCAGACAAGAGGAAAAAAGACACAGACACCAAAGAGGTAAGCTTTGTGATGATGATGATGATGATGATGCATCACACAGTGGCTCATTGCATCTCCCTCTTTCTAATTTTGATAGCTTCTTGGCTCAGACTCTGTACAACCTAATGAGCAAAAACTGTTTGCACCACAGTGCTGGTGCAGGGGTTAGACATGCACCAGTCCTCATCAGCCCGTTGATGTTCTTGGTAGATAGGGAGTTATAAAAAAAAATACTGAACTGTAAGAGTGTTGTGCCTGATGTATCTCTGCATCCATTCACTTATTAGATTTTGCAGTCATTGAAGACCGCCTCATTCATTTACTTGATAGTTTATATTTGCAGTTTACCATTTTTGTTGATTAGAAATTTTTATATACTGGAGAAAATTTATTCTCAGAAAACCTTTACACATTACACTGCATAGAAACAATCAAATTCAAATATGAGAACACTGTAAACAGACATTTGATTTGTTTCTTCCTGTTAACCTAAAACAACTCTTCTCCTCTAGATGTCAATAGCGGAGCGACTAGGTGAAGTCGATCTGTCTGCAGTCCCCACTGTGAAGGGAGCTCCTAAAGGGATGGCCTCTTTACAGACCGATAATTTTGCAGTGCTGCTTTTGCAGGGCTTGGAGAGCAATGATGCCAGTATCCTAAATGTGAGTTCTCTTCTCAGTTAGATGAAAAAAAGATGTGGCTCGATTTTTGTTCCAAATGTTAAAGGGAAAATATAATACCACCCAAAATTTGAATTGATTTTGGTGTAAAAATTTAAGCTCAATCGTGAATACCAAGCTTTAAATGTCTGACTTTCATAAGTTCATGTTGGGTGTAAGCATGAACCTCTAACTTAAAATTTGTCATATCTTAACAGTTTTCTTTCCTTTCTGTCCCACAGAAAGTTTTTCAGACTCGCAAAGAGATGGCGATAAAGAAGACAGTTGCTCGGTTACCCCTCCCTGCTGTTTTACCATTGGTAGAAGAGGTGAGTGCCAATTTTCAGGGCACAGCCCTGACTTGTTTTAATTAGGGGTGCTCCGATCAGGATTTTTGGGGCCGATCACCGATCACTAGAAGCTGTATTGTCCGATACCGATCACCGATTACAGGTTTTACTTGAAGCCTTATCATGTATCATTATTTATTAAACTATATTTAACAACAATGTAAATTAAGTATTGAAATTACAAGAAGAGGAATATCATGAATTGACAACTGCATTTATTGGCAAGAAACATGTGCAACACTTCAACTTAAAACATAGCAGCCTGTGCTTGCCTTGGTTAGTAACTGGGAACAGCTTGGAGCTTGACAAATACAACTTTCCTGTTGATTATATAAAAATAAATAAAATAACAGAACAAAGAGTCTTTGACTAGCTTTAGACTAAAAACTGCAACAAAAAAGGAAAAATACAAATAACAAACTTGCATCTCCATATCTGTATCTGTTTCTATCAACTACAACTTTAACTCAATTCTCTGCAGGACTAACAAGCCATTGCAAGTTCACATCTCTTGGGATGTCAAGAAGAAAGGCAGTTAACTAACAGAACCACAACTGCACTGTCATGATGGCTACTGCCTCATGAATCAATAATAAATTCTGAAGTAGTTACTTTTTTTCCTCAGAAGCTCAAGTCAGATTTTGTGGGCATGTAGAGAGGTAGAGAGAGCAACAGTGATGTAGAGAATGTAGATTAGTAGCTTACTTCTTGCATCAAGGGCAGATTTTTCTTTATAAATATAAGCATCTCCGCATTTTTGGCTGACAGCTTGTTGCGCTTCTCATCCACGATATTTCCTGCTGTGCTAAAAAGTCGCTCACTATCAACACTTGTGCATGGGGCAGAGAGGTAGGTTTGTGCTGCTTGTGCGAGAGCACATCCTGCTGCTCCAGTCCACTGGACAGGACATCAGAAAGCAGCCCACGTATCTGGGGCTTGAGTGTGTCAGGGAAAAATCTGTCCTTGTACCTTTTTGTTAACAAGAAAACAAAGCAATTTATTTGAATTGAATATGAATTTATCAAAAATCATAATCAAATACTTACAACTGATCCTTTTTAGAAAAGAAATATGCAACAGCACAGAGAAATATAAGAATTCTTGCAAGATTATTGTAATATGAATTAAGGAGCCTAATGGAATAATAAAATTACATATCTTCAATTTTATACAGATTCTGAATTGAAACATTTTCAGTACTCAATTTGCCTGCCCTTTAATTCCGTCTGACAGCAACACACATGAATGTAAGAATGTATAAGTTACGTGTTCTCACCTCGGATCAAGGATTGTAGCGATGCTATACAGGCGCTCAGATTCAATGTCATGGAATCTTTTCTGGACCGCTTCCAACAACGTGGCTTTTGAAGTTTTTACTCCATGGTCAGTGTCTGCAGTCTTCTCTAGGAGATGAGTTAAAACTCTGATCGATGGAATGACATCTGCAGCCGATGCAGTTGATGAACTTATCTGCTGTGTGAGCTCTTCAAAGGGGGCGAGTAGCGAAATCATGTTTTCCACCAGTTTCCACTGGGCGCCGTTGAACATTGTTGGTAAATCATAGTCGGCTCCATAAGCACATAGGGCCTGTTTCTGTTCTAGCAGACTCTGCAACACGTATAGAGTACTGTTCCACCTGGTAGGTATGTCTTGCTGTAGTCTCTTGATAGGCTGGCCCAGCTCTTTCTGAATACTTTGCAGTCGAGAGTAAGCAAGCGGGGAGTGTTTGAAATGACCCACGATGCGTCTTCCTGAGGCAATTATATCAGCAACGCTGCGTTGTGACATAACTCCCTCAGCCACAGCAAGCTGGAGTGAATGTGCCATACATGGCAGGCTGGGTAGATTGGCGTCCCTCATAGCCTTTTCCATGTTCTTTGCATTATCCCTTAGAATAACGTGCACTTTTTCCTTCGGGATTCCCCATGCACGAAACATGTCGCTAAATGCAGCAGCAAGAGCCTCTCCGGTGTGCAACCCTGAAAACTTTTGAATGAAGAACCCCTTTTTGTAATTCGAAGTTTTGATTAATAAACTGCGCAGTGAGGCTCAACATGTACATGGGACATACAATCGCACTCCAAATGTCACTCGTGAAACTAATTGATATGTTGTCCTTCATAAGGCTGTCGACATGTGTAAACACTGTTTGGTATAACTGTGGCTGGCACAAATCTGTGAAATATTTTCTTCCTGCAACGTGAATCCAAGTAGGACATGAGTCGCTGGAACCCTTCGTCTTCCACAATAGACAGCGGCTGATGATCTAGGCATATGAATTCCATTATTTTGTTTGATATTTCTTTGCTTCTTACTGTCCTTGAAGTAGGGTTGCTGTCTTTGAAATGTCTGTTACTGACAGCTGAGTGACTGTTGCGCAAGTTGCTGAACTCTCCCGCTCTCTCTTAGCTCTAAACTTTGAAAACTGCTCATGTTCCTTTACGTGACTAACCTTTAAATGTCTGATGAGGTTCGTGGTGTTAAAATGCTTTAGGTGCTTCCCGCCTCGTGGAATTTGCTTGTTACACAGGTTGCAGATTGCTAATGTTGGGTCTTTTTCACACACCACGTAGAATTGCCAAACTGGAGAAGCCATTTTACCAGCGCAAAAAACTTGTCTCGCGAGTTTTGCGTCATCTGATCGGCTTTTCTATATCAGCCATTATAGAGACAGTCGAACAAACTTCCCAAAGCATTTATCGGCCGATTATGATCGGCGACCGATCAATCAGAGCACCCCTAGTTTTACTTTAATTTTAATGGCTTGTTTCCTCAATAGCTTGGCTTGTCTTGTCAGACTCTTAGGCTATGCTAGCTTCTTCAAATATTTCTACAGAGCCGCTGTGTTACACATGGCTTGTGTCTTTGTTTTTGGGCAAGAAAATGTCACCTTTTTGGACCCTGATCAGTTTTTACCAGATGATCTTTCTGCAGTTTTTAATCAGCCCTTTATCTCCTTTGTAGATCACAAAGAGGCTCCAAGGGCACCCTTTCATGTAAGTTGAAAGCTTGACATTGACTCAAAGCATTTAATTGGCTTTAGATGAGTGTACACATCACAAACTGACTATGCAGATGTTGAAGTTTGTGCCACTGCTTTTTGCTTTCAGTTGTATAAACAATGCACCTCATCTGGATGTATACAATCAGGCAGTGCTTGTTCATACTTGGCACTAAATATATCCATTTCCTCCTACAGGGCAGCTCTAATGGTACGGTGGCTTAAGGCTGTGCTTATGCACCACACATCATACCTGGCATCGGTGAGTTGACTTTACCAGCATCACATTCTGTCTGTACTGCTGATATAGCTCCAGTTGGTGGTGCTTATTTGACTCGTACTGTCTTCTATAGAGCCAAGCACTTGCGGCTCGCCATGGTCCAAGCAGTGAATGTTGTAGTTACCTCTTAAGTGCTGCCCATGGTGGTTTAAATACATACAAATACAGCATCTTTCTGTGCATATCTTTTCCTTTCCCTGACGTATTCAGTTTGATTTTGATCTACTATTATCATCTCCACCACATAACAGAACTGAACTCCCTCCAAGCATCTGTCCATCTGTGACCTCTGTCATAACACTGCCAGCTGGCCAACATTTTGATTCCCAAATGATGTGTCTCTCCCCTGACCCATGAGGCCGTATAAACAGAGCATTTGCTGTTCTTATTGATCTTGGCAAGAGAAACATTTTTGGTGACATTGTGCCATTTCTTGTGTGGCTGCATATACTGTGTATATACTATATGGGAGCTGTGGAAATGAGGCCTTGGTGTTGGTGTGTTCTTTTGCTGAAATGTTTCTTCCTTCATCTGTTCCATCTGTGTCCCAACAGCTGCCAGACCTGGTTACGCAGCTGGGAGTGCTTTATAACATGATTGAGAGCAGAGTGAAGATGTTCCACAAGCTAACAAAGCTACATGGGAAACTGTATCTCCTAATGACACAGGTTAGTCTCCTCATGCACAGTACCTCTGCCTTGGGGTGTTTCAAACACCTAGACTGGTGTTGGTATGAAGTGGATAGTAGGGTATATGTAATCCCCTTTTTGATTATGATGATGTGTCACCCAAAATGTGTTGCAAGACAAAAGGTGAGCTAAGAGGATGGTCACATTTGGGCAGCAGTTAAACTGTGGAGGTTAACTGATGAACTATCATTTTATTCAGAGGTGTTCCTAATATTCTCACCCTCTCATGTATGTAGCTGGGGAGGACAAAATATAGTAATTGCAGAATGTGCATGCGTTAATTACATGTCAAAAAAATTTGTGGCATTTAAAGGAATTTGTTAACTTCGACAGCCTTAGTTTATATTAATTCACGGGCACAGGTTAAAAAAAAAAGAGAGAAAAAAGACGATGCTGACGGATACTGAGTAAAATAAAATTTTAGTAATTAATAAATAAATAAAGGTGTAGGTTCTTTTTAACATCTAATCTGGCATAATTTTATGAAGCCTAAATAACAATACATTTATTATGAAGGCCTATGGCACAACCTTTGACCCATCAACTTACATCAACCTAATAGGACCTGATGTCCTATTAGGTTGATGTAAGTTGTAAGTTGATGTAAGTCAGACTTCAACGTAGGTGTCGGTGTGTTAAACTGGATAATGTAAAAGCCAAAATAGCTAGTGGTTGATGCCAAACTGTGGATAAATTATCGAAGGCCAAGTCCAACATATGAGGGAAATATGGTGTGGTTACAGACAGTGAGAACAGCATTATCAGCAGCTTGGCTGCTTGTAAACTGTCTCAAAGTGTTAGCATTTGATAGCCACAGGCTAGGCACATCCTCACTAAGGGAACAGCTGCAGAGCCCAGGTGCTGTTTCCACCTATAGATACTTTTCAAAGAACACCTCTCTCAAGCACTTTAGAGTAAGTGACGGTAGCCCAATAGACCATTTTTAATCATAGATACAGGTCAGGTTGTAGGTTTGTTAACAGGTCAGGTCACCTCCAGATTTCATTTAGAAATAACTCCCGGTAACCATTCGGGACCAATATGGTGCTTTGCGGACGCAGGGTGGGTGTGGGTTTTTGAAACTGGACATGTGCAGGACCCCGACTTGTCTAGGGTGTACCCCGTCTCTGGCCCAGTGTCAGCTGGGATCATATCCCACACATCCCGCATGACCCTAAAGGATAAGCTGGTATAGGTGATGGATGGAGTTTAAACCTGTGCTCTCTGCTGGGACTGGACAATGATACTGATCCCTCAGTTCAATTTGATTTTGATTCATGATGATTCATTTACAGATTTTGAACACAGTGCTTCTCTGAATCATGGGAACTTGAGCATCACTGAGTATAAAATTATGAAAAGTTCACATTAAAGGTGAAATTGTAAACACATTTCCTGGTTATAATATTGTTCAGGATTTCCCTGGCAAATGCGAAACAATTAAAATGCGAGCTCTCTAATTTTAGACCTACATGTGCAAAACAGTTGAGCAGGAACAATAAAAACCCAGTGCTGCTAACAAGTCCAGACATCCACTTTAAAGCTACTTGACCTAATTTCTTTTCAGCCACTAGAGAGTCTGGGGAGAGTTCAAATAAACTGACACTGTGAAGCGTACTACATGGCTCTTTTCCCCTTCCATCACTTCCTCTGTCTTAGAGATAATGTGAAACATGGATACCTGGTTGGGATATACTGTACAAAATGCAGCCACTAGTCAGCGTTAGCTGACTAACAAGCAAATTTGACAAACTTGTAGAATGCTCTGATTACTGCTGATGTGACAGCATACTACCGTTTAAACAAACAAAGCTCAAATAGAGTGCCATTGGGATATTTTCTTTATTCTTTTTTTATTTATTTTTTTTTTTTTTTTTGGGATTATTGTGGAAAATAAGCTCTGTGACAACAGTTTGACACTTGAACGTTTTGATCAGCAAGATAATCTTATCAGGTGAACACCACTTATGATTTTTGAAGCCCTTATAGAATCACCAGAAGTGAAGAGCTATTGTTTGGCTATACACCACAGTCCCATGACTTGCAACTTGTAATTTGATTTATAGTGCTTACCTAAAGAAAGTCACTTTCAGCTTTTCCCGTTTAGGGGTTGCCACAGCGTATCGTCACACTGACGGCTCGCATGTTGACACTTGGCATGTGTTTTACGCCGGATGTCCTTCCTGATGGCAACCCTGATTTGAACCCGGGGCGCAGTGACGAGAACGCTGCGCCTTAACCACTAGCCTACCAGGGAAGGCGATTTATAGCACTTACCTATTCTACAAAATCATTTTCTCTTAGTGTAACCTGATCTAGCTAGTGATCATGGCTGTGTCCATTAGTTAGAATAGTTTGTAAACACACAAGGCTAAAAATAAGGCTTTAAAGCCAGGTTGGTGCACACATAAGTCTGTGTTTGGTGTGATGATGGTTAATATCCCATCCAGCTTCCTGTGTTGATGGGGTCTCTAGGTCCCCTACGAGACAAGTCAACTAACCATCCTGTGTCACAACAGTCTCGCTAAGTTTGGTGCGTCTGCATAGACTTTAACTATTCACGTCGGGTTACGAGACAGTCAGGAGTCACATTGGCTAACGTATCCAGCTGTCATCTACATTCATTTTTAACTTTACCTGTTTTGTGTATGTTGTAATAACATGTTCTCTACAAAGAAGATATGTTACACACCATGCAGCCCAAACTAAACTACAAATCAACTAACCTCTGTACACAAAACATTTAGCACAGTTGTACAGGCTTGCTGAAAAGCAAATGCAAGATCAGTCTTGCAGTTCCTAGAATCAATATTGAATCATTCAAATAAGACTCGCATCTAACTAGAAAATCTGTATATTTATCTAGCCCTACTTTCCACTTGACTGTAAGGACCGTTACCATTTCTGAAAATTCGAAGTTTATTTCTTGTTCTTGTGGAGCAAGTTCTCACCACCCTGCCATGGACAGAGTGCTCTGCTGGTTCTAGTTGTGTTCCGGACATCAGTAGCTGAAAATGGAAATTTAAAGCTCCTAATTAGATCATGTGTGCAGCAATTGGACTGAAGAGAACCTGTAATAATAAGTGTTCTGGTAAACGATGGATGCACACAAGTGTTTGCCCTCCTCCTGCCAAGTGCAACATTCAGTGACTATTGTAAGATTGGTGTATTTTTGTAAAACTACACATGGCTGCATACTGTATCGCATGCACTCTTTTTTTTATTTTTGAAGATTTGTGTAATTAATGTGACTAGTGAATACAAACTGAAAAGAAATAATAATCATAGTCTCCACAATTCCTTTGACTCTGCCACCCATTTTCTTCACCACTAGGTGGCAACAAATGACAGCAGTAACTCAGTTACAGATGTTGACCACACGGCTAAGCTCGTATATGAAGGGGGTAAGTGTCTGTTCTTCTTGTAGTATCTTTTATTTTAAATACCTTCTGTTTCTCCACTGTCTGTGTTCTTTAAAAACTTCTTTATTGTGACATCTTGGCTTTGGTCTGTCTCTGAATCCCATTGAAGATTCAGTGCAGTGATCAGTGTGAGTGGCAAGCTGACAGGAATTAAGTGATAGTCTTGTTTCAACCTCTAACTCATCGCTTGAACATTTCAGATGCATAATTGTCAGGACTGACTCCTTAAACATGCAACAGGTTCCACTGATGCTCTGACATCACCACCCCACCAAAATATTGTTTCTGATTATTATGTCAGTTCACCCAACCTCATTTGTGACTACTAGTGAAGACCGCACTGAATCAGTAAGATTTATGAAGGCAGCGTTGCCCACCATGCAGCCACTCTTGGCAATGCACCGCACGCAACTGTGGCTCCTGTTGCTTGGCAACCTGACCGGCAGCATTCAGATTCTCCCCTTTGAGCAGAACAACAAGGCCCCACTCTGTTCACTCTCATTTCTCATTACCGTACTTTATTGAACCACATAGAAAATTTACTTTAATGAAATAATTAAGCTGTGCCTGGAGTTCCAGTAACCCTGTCAGTGGTCCAGGATGTGAAGGTTCATTTAAAAAGAAAAGTTCATAAAGTCAGATGATATGCTGGAGTTTGTTAGTCTTGTTGTGAATGCTGCCATGTACTGAGATCATTATGGTCCAGTGTGGAAATCTGACAAAGTTGTCAGACCAGCTGGTCAGGTTGCATTGACCAAGAGGGTAATATTACTTGATCTTTCAGTTTCACACAGTGGTTGTGTTCTGCAACTGACCAGGTAACAACCAGCATTGGCAAGGCAATAATAATAATGCATAAACCATTCTGTATCATTAGAGAAGCTGTAGAAATGTCTGTCAGGACACAGGAGCCGATTTGGGCTTCTGTAAATGTACAGTGGTTACCCAGGGATGCTGATTACAGCTGCCAGTTTGAAACCTGTACATTTTATCTTGTTATGCAAAAGCTGCTTTTTCACAGCATGCAGCATTTGTAAAAACAATTTGCTGCAGCTCCAAATGATTTCTCTCACTGAACTGAGAGAAAATTGGTGCATGTCGTAATGATGGTAACAGGCTCTCCAGTCGACCTGCTTCATCCTTTTCTTTGTATTCCTGCCACTTGTCCTTTCAGTAGAAATGTCTGCAAACCTATCACATTAAACAGCGTGTATTGTTGATGAAATGGCCTTTTAATATCAGTTGCCCTTTATCATGCAGTTTCTCATTTTGGCTGGAGAAAACAGTGTCCACTCTCTTCTGTGCTTGCATTATCGGAAAACTACAGCACATTCCCCTGTGCAGTGCAATTCTGACAATAGGGCTGTCCTGAATGCCAGTTTTTGGGCTCCAAATATTCAGTGGTAACATATTTGCCATCAGAGGTTAACTTTGTGCTGTAGCTTAAAGTACCTCTTAACCCATCTGGCAGTACTCTGGGTTAAAAAAACTAAACTAATAAAAGTTATGTAATATTTAATGTCACAGATGAAGACAGATCTTCATAACCATTACATACATAGAATGTGCTACATTTCTATCGATGTGAGATCAACTGATAGTTCTACCAATGAAGATGTCTCACTGTTTTGGAGTTGGAACTACAGAGAAGCACTCAGTTCACACTATTCAATGGCATTACAGAGTGATACATTTTATTTAAATGATCTTCAGCTAACAGCTGACAGTATGTCTGTTTGTCCACCAGCTGCAGCAAGGTCACAAACCCAACAACAGCAAGTTTCACTTTGTCCTGTCATCAGTTTAAGTCATGGAGTTAGTTAGTTGGCACTAACTGGTATGATTCTGCTGGTTGTCATTTTAACCAGAAAGAGCAATGATCAGCAGAAGCTGCTGCCTGAATTATTTCCACAGGTGTCACTGGCACTGCTGTGCTAATATTGAAAACCAACGAACGAATAGTCGGATATTATCAGATTGTGTTGCCATCTTTCTGCATTAAATGTACACACAAGTAAAAGTATAGCTGGGTTCCTCAATTTTTTTTTCTTTATATCACCTGTTTCCTTTGTGTGTGTGAGAAGGGTTTATACCAATGTTGATGGCTTATTACAGAATCATCTGATGAAGATGAGGCCTCTGGTGATGGATGTCCTGACAGTGACTCTGATGTAAGTTAGTTATGGCCCTAGCTGCTTTGTGTGTTTTTATGTGGTTTCACTGTTTCCAGGATGACTCTGTTGGTGCGAGAGTAAGTGATCTGTTTTCTAGTGGATCTTTGTGTCGAGCTGCAGGTAATGCAGTGTGAACAGCTGGCATCAGGGGAGGTGGCTGCAGCTGCTTGGACCAGTTGTCAGCATGCTCCTTAAGAATGCCTGGGTTCCAGCAGTCCAGGGGCAGCACTGACAGCAGCAGCATCTTCTGTCTTTGGTCCCCAAACCTGTGACAGTGTTGACTTCTTTGTAGGGTGTAAATAGTAAATGTAGTGTTTTCATGTTTTATTTTGAACAGTATTCTCCTGTTTTTCGTTAGGTTTAGTCTGTGTCTTTTTGTTCCACATAATTCAGGGCTTATTCAGCACTTTTTGCAGGTAGGGGATTTTGTTTGTTTTTTTGGCTTTGGTTCACCCTGAGTTATCTCACTTCATTTTGCATTATCTCACTTGGTTCACTTGTTCTTGGTGTCATAAAATGTTTTGCTTGTTTGAAATTTCTAGTACTTCTATTTCTAGGTTCGGGACCATGGAGAGAAAGCCAATTCTTTGTTGCCCTCCAGCATCTCCCTAGACAGGAGCATACAATAGAACAGTCACCTCATAATTTTCCTGTCAAACTAGTAGATTAGTATTAATCTTGCGGTAAATCAGTGCTTAGATTATTTTATTAGGTTGCCCATTTTTGAGTTGAGAACCTAGATGTCTGTGATTGTATCTCTGCAGAATTGGGAGGAGGAGGGGATAATGGGGGAGATGATGGAAGAAGACCATGAGGAATGGGCAGATGAAGACAAGGATCCAGACAGAACAGAATCCAAAACTAACGGAGAGGAAGACATGGAGCACGAAAATGAGAGTGAAGAAGAATGAGACATGCCAATCACACACAAAATGGACATAAAAGTTATATATATGCATTTTTTATTTTCATGCTTTTGATTTTATTGTCTGAACAAAGTATTGTTTTACAAAATCAAGGGGCACATGTTGAAAAGTGACTTGCCACATCTTGGTTCACCCACACGTCATGCTTTTCCTGTTTGAGGAACAGATGCAACATTTTGGAGAGGGCAGCAAAACATTTTACAATTTGAAATGGATGAAAGTTATCCTGCTGCCAGACCAGTCTGCATCCCAGCTCTGTGCCTTGTGGAGTTTGCAATGAAAATGGCTGCAAAGGGGTGTAGTGGCCCTGTTTGTCTACAGTGCAGTCTGCATTCCAAATTTTCATATATAATGCGCAATATTAGAGTGTATTGTCCACTGTAACAGTAGATGAGACGGCACTCGGATTGGGATACTCTAACTCAGCCCTGTAGGTCCTATGGAACACTCCTTGTTCTGCAGCATAGCCCACAGATGCAAAATCAGCACAGGTGTGGCGTTGCAATGTAGGACCGCCAGCTGTTTGTTGTGAAGATACTGCTCAGTCCAGAGGTGGGTTTACCAGGCAAGGCCATACGCTATGTCCCCACACCATGTAAATCTGTATGTACAGTGAAGTGTTTCGATGAGCTCTTCCCTCTACAGCTATCCCCCAGAAATCCATGGAATTAAACTCCTGTAAAGTCTCCTGAATGATTTTTCTTTCTTCAGATTTGTTGCAAGCCCTTGTGTTTTGCTGTTTTGTGCATTTAATTTCTGGGCATGGCCTGATGTCCACTGCATTCAGCCCATAGTTAGAGGGGCAAATGAGGAAATAAAGGTCATAAGCCAAATAGGTGAATAAATGGGGTTTCAAAGTGGTTTAGTGTCTCTGGATTGTGGGGGAGAAGTAAAAAAAAAATACTGAAGATGTATTAAGACTAGCTAAGGGGTCAACTTATGGAAGCTGCGCAGGATGCTCCTTTTATTTAAATTTGCCATATTTAAGCAAGAATGTTTAGCTGTACAAGTTGCCATTTGTTTACAGGCAGGTGTAAACGGTAAGTTGGGTGCTTGATATATTATACATCAAGATAAAATTACACACAGGCTTACCATGCCATAGAATTTTATATATATATAAAATTTATTTTTAAAAAGTACATGATTAGAATCATAATCTGCTTTATTGGCCAGGTGTGTTGGACACACGAGGAGTTTGACTCTGGTACATCGGCTCTCAATGTGTATGTATGGATGAAAGTTAACCCCCATGCAACGGGCAAGTAAACAGTAAACCAGCTTAAGGCTGTAATATAACCAAATGAGCAGTATTAACAAGCAACAAACAATGCAAAATAAATGCTATATCTACTGCTACATCCTCAATGCAAGGAGCATTACCATAGGTCTTTCCTCCCCACAGCTATCAGACTGTACAATACATTACTGCAGTGATAAGCTAGGTGAAATTATGAGGGACTGTACAATTGTCATCTGAGGTGCAATACTTAAATCCTGGGGTAAAATGCATTGTAAATATGCACGTGTAAAATTTTGTCCTTGATTTCTCTCGAATACTTTATATTGTCTTGTTTTAGGTTTTTTTGAGTAGTTTTTCAGAGATCCTCGTGGCTGAAATACAGGTATTTTCCTCATTGCAGGATTAATTATGGGAGTAATATTCTTGTCCTTGGTCTCTTGAATACTGTATTTTGTATTGTTCTTGGGTATTTTTGGTTTGTTCTCAGGGATTTAATTGTGGGAGGATCATTCTTGTTCTTGTCTCTCAAATACTATATTCTGTTTGGTTTTAGGTACTTTGGGATATGTTACTCAAGACGTGTGTGGTGTTTGTTCTTATGGTGTTTTGTTGCTGCTCTCTATTGCTGCTGGAACACAGGAATTTCCCCATTGTGGGATCAATAAAGTACTACCTACCTAAGCAGTATAGACAGGCAGTAAACAATGCAGACAGACAAGGAATGCTCATTGTGAAATGGGATAAGTAGGAATAAAAATAGAGTATTAGAGACCTGTATAATCTGTACGAGGTATATTTTCAGGTATTGTACTGAGGGTTATTGTCCAGTCATACTGTCGTGGGTTAAGTCTTCATCAGAGCGACAGCCCGGGGGAAGAAACTGTCCCTGTGCCTGGTTGTCTTGGTGCACAGTGACCTGTAATGCCGTCCAGAGGGGAGGACTCCAAACAGATTGTGTCCAGGGTGTGAGGGGTCAGCAGTGATCCTCTCCACCCTCCTTTTGACCCGTGAGGTGTACAGGTCCTCCATGGAGGGCAGGCTCACACCAATGACCTTTTTGTGACTGTCCACTGAAGTCTGTACTTGTCCTGTTTGGTTGCTGAGCCAAAACCAGACAGTGATGGAGGTGCAGTGAACAGACATGATGATTCCTCTGTAGAACTGTATCAGCAGCTCCTGGGGCAGGTTGAAACTCCTTAGCTGGCGCAGGAATTGCATCCTCTGCTGTGCCTTCTTGGTGATGGTCCTGATGTTGGATGTCCACTTCAGGTCCTGGGAGATAGTGGAACCCAGGAACTTGTAGGACTTTACTGTTGATACAGTGCTGCCAAGTATGGTAAGTGGGGGCAAGGAGGGAGGGCTCTTCCTGAAGTCCACTGTCATCTCCACTGTTTTGAGCATGTTCAGCTCTAGGTTGTTGCGGCTACACCACAGGACCAGCTGCTCCCATCTGTAGGCTGACTTGACACCGTCTCGGGTGAGACCAATGATCGTTGTATCATCAGCAAACTTAAGGAGCTTGACAGAGGGGTCCTTCGAGATGCAGTCATTGGTGTAGAGTGAAAACAGCAGAGGGGAGAGCACACATCCCTGGGGGGCACCTGTGCTTATTGTCCAGGTGCTGGATGTGGTTTTCTCCAGCCTCAGCTGCTGCTTCCTGTCTCAGAAAGCTTGTAATCCACTGACAGGTGGGGGCAGGCACAGTGAGCTGGGTCAGTTTGGATTGGAGAATGTCCGGGATGATGGTGTTGAACGCCAAGCTGAAGTCCACAAACTGGTGACTCTAAATTGTCTGTGTGTGGTTGTTTGTCTCTAAGTGTCAGCCATCTGATAGACTGGTGATCTGTCCAATGTCAGCTGGGATTGGCAACCCTATTCAGGATAAGTGGTATAGATATTGGTTGGATGCTGGCGTCTCATTTTGTAATGAAACTTCTTGTTATTATTATTATTATATAGTACAATTGCTTCTCTCACAGAGTCCTGGTCTCTGATTCACTGAGGCCACTTGATTTCATCCAAAGACGAAGGTACAATATTTTAGGGCTAGAAAAAGAACACGAGCAAAAGGAGCTTGAGAATACAGATTAAAGTGGCAGGGGAGTGAATGGTGAGCAGGGTATATATAGGGAGGAGACTAATAAGGTGCAGCTGGTGATAATCAGGGGCAGGTGTACTGGATAGTGTAATCAGGGTGAGGAAGCAAAACTAAAGTGAGAAAAGCAAGAGAGTAAGGTGCAGCCGGGCAAATCTGACATCCCATTAGTGTCAGCTTTAATCTGTTCTAATAATTGCATGCTATCAAGCTGAAAAAATGTAGAAAAAATCATCTGGACTTGGTTTTAGGTAGAAGACATTTCACTTCTCATCTAAGAGGCTTCATCAGTTTTGTCCAACTGGTGATGAGCAGGAGGTAGAGTGTATTTATCCCCCTGGGTGGTGTTTCATTCCTTTGATGGTCAACAATGTCTCCTAACGACTGAGTTGTTATAGTCCGGTATCAGTGAGCGTCGTTACCTGTCTTTGAACCCTCACATGTGGACTGACGCCTATTGTCCTGGTATGAATTAGGGTGGGAATGTTTGGGCAATGATTTCAAAACAGAGTTGTAGATAGATGACAGAGTTGACAGAGGGGGTGGTTGAGCGTACTAAGACACGGCAGCAGCAGTGGCTGTTAGGCATCTTGATCTATGGGGAGAGGGGATGCCATGTTATTTATATCTGCAGCTATCTGGGACACACACTGATGCATGCGGTTTGTGAGGCAGACTGTAACCTGGTCTTGTGAGAGTGGAGGAGTAGGCCGTCTCTCGCTAGAGAACACTGCTTAGGGGAGCAAGATGGAGTTAAAACTAGGCTTCAGCAGTGAAACTGTGGAGAAGCTGAACTCAGTCGTGCCCAGCACCTTTTCTGGTGAGCCCGTCATGTCAGATGGGGGAGGAGCTGGGGCTTCCCCTTGTGATCTGCCACCTTTTTAATGATGTCTGGCAGATTGCAAAGCAGAGGCCCAAAGGCCAGAGGCAGGCCGGCGGCGGGGGTGTGCTGCTGCATCAGAGGGGCCTCATCTCTACTGGCATCCATGTCGAATGATGGGTTGATGGGAGCGCCAGTGATGGAGGGAGGTGAGTCGACGGACTCGGGCCCCCTTCCACTGATCACGCCAAGGAACTTGTTGGGTATTTTTAGTCAGATAGATATTGGATAGATACTTTATGTATTAGAAATGTTTAGTGGAGATAGGATGTATAGTTAGACTGTTAAATGCT